TCATTCCTACCACCAATAAAAAAGAATACTGTGAAATGAGCATATCCCAGCTAGTTTCTGTGCTGCGTATTGCGTTTAAAATTGAGGATTTTGATAAAATTGAGCAAGAGTTGGTAAAGAGGGAAGCAAAACTTAGGGCGGAAATTGGACGACTCCAGGAGAAGATTGAGCTGGAGAGGCTCCAAGGAATTGAATTCGAAGAAAGACTGAAAATCAGAGAGGAGCAATGTGAAAGAGGGAAGAGAGCCCAGGAGGATTATGAGCAGTTGTTGAAGGAAGTGAAAACAAATGGCTGGATTGAAAAACATGCTATTGAGGAGTTAAGGAGAAAGAACGTTGCTTTAGAACGTGAAGTGTGTGAGCTGAAGGAGTTCAAGAAAATAATGCTAGATGATGTCAACTCTGTGGATCAACTAAGGGACAAGATCCGTGTGTTGAAAGAGGAGAAGGTTGGGGACAAGAATGCTCTTGATGTCCTTAACATGAAGAACATTGAAGTGAAGGAAGAAGTTAAGAAGAATTTGACTGTCATAGAAGGGTTGAGGAATGAAAATGCTAAACTGACATACGAGAAGGTCGGGAACAAAAATGCTCTTGATGTCCTTAACATGAAGAACATTGAATTGGTGGAAGCAGTTAAGAAGAATTTGACTGTCATAGAGGGGTTGAGGAATGAAAATGCTAAACTGACAGACGAGAAACACGAACTTAAGACATTTATTGAATCTTTGGAGAGGAGGTATAGTAAACTCCCCGTCAGTTATGTGAAGGTGGAAGAGAGTACTCATTGCTCTGTTGATACTGGCAATGCTCGGTCTCCCAAAAAAGGGAACAAGGAGGATGCTGTAGGTGCATTAGGTATGTAAATGAAAATTCTGTTCTCTTTGCATCTTTTACGTCTATAATACAGATTTACATTTATATAATTTCCTTTAAAAATATTTAATTGGATCACACTGAATTTGATTAATACACTTTAGTCATATTTCTTGGTACCCTGAAAACCATGACGACTTTTTGAGAGAAGGAATTGGCTATTGGCCCGAACCATGTTTTAGTAAATTAATTGAAATGGTGTGGTAAGGCAAGCAATTCTTGCTCAAACTGGATTAATTGAAGACTGAACCAGATTACGTTAAAATACTCAAAAAATATCACAGTTTGCAACTATTAGTAGACAAAATTTAAGAACATACACTCCTCACATCATTCAATCTTGTTGTTGAAGTAACAATATCATAAATTAGTTCACCACAAGGTTGAGGTTGGACCCCTACACAGACAGCTTTGTAACGCCAAATTAACCCTGTTTCCAGCCTTTTGAATTTTACGTTGTTATCTTCAAGTCAAACACAACATTGTTGCCGTTGTCTTTCTCAGTTGTTCAACTCATGGCTTGATTTGTTGTAGAGTCCTGGTCATCTATATATGAGGGTCATAATTTTAAACTGTAACGTTGAGGTTTTCTTGCGCTTTTTGTTCTATTGTATTTTGTTCCCTCAGAAAACTGCTAATCATCTCTTTTTTGTGTTTTCTTCGTTTTTCCTGATAATTTGTTTTTTTCAATAAGAACAAAAGAAAGATCAGACAGAAGCATGCAAAGAAGGTAACTCATTTTGTTTATCCATACAATCAAGATTACGCGTATCTGCTCTGAATTGGATCATAGTAAACGTTGTTAATTACTTGAAGAGTTGAAGGCTGTATTTTTCAAGAAATGCTGACACAACAACCAATTTTATACTTGTATTCCAAAATCTACTACTCTTTATTCCCCTAGCTTTTGCCTGAAGTATATCATGTTAACAAAATAATGTTTAGTTTTAACACATATTCTTTGTACATGCAGGGGTAAAATTTAAATTGGAAAAGGAGATCGTGGACCTAGGTGATGATGATAATGATGCTAGGTATACATCACAAGGATTGCGTGGAGAGCAAACTATTTCTCAAAAAATTGCAGAAAATGAACATTTACAAAGGGTTGAAATGATCAAAAGACAACGAGCTTCTGATATTCAGGCTTCTACTTCCACATTTACATCCTCTGCTGATTTATTTGAAAAAGAAAATCTCCCTGTAAAGAGAAGTAAGTTCTCTAATCAATATTATATGTGAAAATTTAGATTTGTTCTTTGTTTAAAAATATCAGCTTATTGGATATGTCTAGCTATGGTAGTCACACTTTATATCTTTCTGAATGATTATGACGTTGGCACGAAAAATGACTTTGCTCGATGACTGTTATTTGTTGGAAAATCTGACTTATATTAAGTAGAGTTTTCTCTCCTAATCAAATTTTTTTGTCCTTCTTTGTTTTCATCTTCAAAGCTCAGAGACTTTGTTTCAAGGATACAAGTTCACTGTAACTGAGACCAACATGTTGCCAAAATTTGAATAGAAAATTTATTCCTTTATCATAAATCTTCCTCTATTTCACTTCTTTTTCCTCTATTAGGATTTTTTTATTTCTTTCTTTTCTTATTCTGTTAGTGTTTGAAGATTTAGGTAAGATTAATTTTATATTCTTCCTGTTAAGATATTTTTCTCTTTCTTTTATTCAGTGCCAAAATAATTCTTTTTATCTCAACACATTCTTGGTTGATTTAAATCACAGTTAATATTCTTGAATGTTTGGCATGTTATTTATGTTCCTGCTTATATAATTGTTGTGACTTTGGATTGCCCGATAGATTGAATTTGAATTCTCTAGTAAATTTACTAGTTCATATCTATCAACTATAGAAACTTAGGAACTGCTAGAACCAACGTCAACTGAGTTAGCGACCGCAAAAAACTTGCCAGGGTAATACTCGTGCATTAGTTTTGCAGCTGCTGTCACCATATCAGGGTAATCCTTTTGTCTTAAGGCATACTGGTACATGAATGTCAAACTTAATTGTTAAGAAAACCCATCCCCTCACGTCGATATATAAACATATAAGATTAGACATTAACGGATGATCACAGTAAATAATATATCCAATAAATAACTATAGATTCTAATAATGATTCTGATACTATATTAAAAGGTGAACTTTAAACCTAACTTAACTTCACAAAACCAATTTATAAATTGAGATTTACACTCACGTATATATTTTTAATTGATCTTATTTCTCTGGTTGATGTGAGAAGTATATATCTTCACAACAAAAAAATAGTAAAATACAAGTAAAAAGGATAATAAGATAAAGTCAATATATGTATACCTCCTTCATGTTCCTCAACAAGGTCATGATCAGCTTTCAACATACGTAGGGGGAGTATTTGGAATGATAAATTCAGAATCTTCACTCTCTTTAACCTCCTTTTAAACCCTGGATCCTTTTGATTGTCCTCATCATTTTCTCTATGGTGTGGCACCCAAAAATGAATTTTAAAAATGAAAAATAAAAAACAAGAACATATTCTTATTCTCTCGCATAGAAAACCCTTAGTCTGTTTAAAGTGGCATTTGTCACTGATAATCATTTCAACTCACCAGTCTAGAACAATCAATTTAAAACACAATTTCGATACCTGTTGTTGTACATTTTTTTTAATGCTTCGTTTTTAGTTCTGTTGATCTCTTGTTTTTGTTGGCACAGGTGTCATGGGCAAAGATATTCAAAGTCCTGCAAAAAAGATAAAAAAAGGTTATCCGGTTTATAGGGCCCAGAGAGTAAGTGGGCCCATTGAGCCTCTAGCCCATGAAGTGAAGCACGGTTCAAAACAGGTAAGGGTATATGTGAGAAAGAAGCAGAGTTTTCTCTCCTAATCAAATTGTTATTCTTTTTTGTTTTCATCTTCAAAGCTCAGATTCTAGACTTTGTTGCAAGGATACAAGTTCAGTTTATCTCAGACCAACATGTTGTAAAGTTTTAGTAAAATATGTATTCCATTATCCTAAATCTCCCACTATTTCACTTCTTTTTCCTCTGTTTGGATTTGTTTATTTCTTAGGCATACTGGTACATGTTAAAGGTAATATACAATAGTAGTAAGCATACGATCTTCACGACAAAAAAATAGTAAAATACAAGTAAAATGGATAATAAGATAAAGTCAAACTATGTATAAAGGACTGGGCACAAGAGAGGAGAAAGGTAACATGTTTAATCTGAATGTATATCTATACATTATTGAATTGTGTAAAACAAAGTATAATCCTTTATTTATAAGGATTAGAAACTCTGAACAGTGTGCACAATATGACAGCACCAAAAATAGAAAAACAGACCGTTGTTAAAATGAAATATCTCTTACCATATTTTTGGCTTAACACTTGTACCATTAAACATATTCTAATACACCTCCCTAAGCCAAAAACTAGATTGTTCCAGCAACCCCGATCGGCTTCTTGAGGCTTTTAAATCTCCTAAATTTGAGAGCTTTAGTTAGAATGTCAGCAAGTTGCATTTCTGATCTGCAGCAGCACAACTCTAGCTTTTCATCTTTCACCTGCTCATGGATATAGTGGAACTTTGTTTCTATATGCTTGCTTCTTCCATGAGAAGTGGAGTGCTTGGCCAAATCTATTGCAGATTTGTTATCAATACACAATTGTATCTTTTTCGTTAGATCTATCTTCAACCCCTCCATCACAGATTTCAGCCACATAGCCTGACACGTTGCTCATAAGTTGCAATATATTCTGCTTCACAAGAGCTCAAAGCCACCATCAGTTCCTTGGTTGAACTCCATGATATAGGAGAGTCTCTAAGGAAGAACAAATACCCTCATGAGCTTTTCCTATCACTTTTATCTCCACACTAGTTCGCATAAGAATAGGCCTTTATTCTCACTTCCATACCTCCTCTTCTTGGAAACAAAATGCCATAGCCGTGTGTGCCCTGTATGTATCTTAGAATGCGTTTCACAACATTTGAGTGTGATATTCTGGGATTTTGCATGTACCTTCTCACAAGACCAACACTAAAACTCACATCTGGCCTTATGTTGCACAAGTATCTTAAACTTCCTACCATGATATGATAGAAGGTAGCATCAACAACCTCCTCTTCTGGATCAATTTCCAATCTTAAACCCACTTCTGCAGGTGTATTTGCAGTATTACGATTCTGCATTTCAGCCTTCTTCAACATCTCTTTAGCATAGCGTGATTGATGCATCACTATCACTTTCTCGATTTCCACAAATTCTATGCCAAAGAAGTAATTTAGCTTGCCTAAATCACTCATTCAGCATATGTAGTTTGAAATTCTGAATCACCTTCTCATTGCTTCCAGTAATTAGCATGTCATCTACATACAAACATACTATTAAACTTTCAACTCTCCCTTCTCTCTTGTTGTTCTGCACATAGACACCATGTTCTGAAATAAATCTCTCAAAGCCAATGTTGTCCATGAACTTATCAATCCTCCGGTTCCAAGCTCTCGGGGCCTGCTTTAGCCCATACAGGGCTTTCTTCAATCTGTAAACCAATCCCTGCTGTGCCTCAACTTCAAATCCAGGAGGCTGCACCACATACACTTCTTCTAATCTTCCATTCAAAAAAGTTGATTTCACATCCAATTGATGTAATGACCAACCAAACTGATTTACTTGAGCCACCACAAGTCTTACCATTTCCATCCTAGCCACAGGTGCAAAGACCTCACCATAGTCTATTACAGCCTTTTGCAAAAAACCCTTTGCAAAGAGCCTTGCCTTATATCTCACAACTTCTTCTTGTGGGTTTACTTTAGTTTTGTAAACCCATTTCAAACCAAACAGACTTTTATCAGCAGGCAGCTCAGTCAACTTCCAAGTACGATTTTTCTTTATGGAATCAATCTCCTCCTGCATAGCTTTCACCCACTTATCATCTGCAGTTGCTTGCTCAAATGTCACAGGTTCAACTTCAGGAACAAGAGCATAATGGACCAGGTTTCCCTCTGAAGTTACTGCAACATCATAGAAAGAATCATAGTCCTTCAAATGTGAAGGCAGCTGTGACATTCTAGATGATCTTCTCTGATTCCTTTCTTGCTCAAGAGACTTCCCTTCCACTGGATCACATTCTTCTCTTGAAGTCCCATCTTCTAACTGAAGAGTTATACTCTTTCTCTACATAGTCTTCCAATCCCACACTCTTTCCTCATCAACTATCACATCTCTACTGACAGTCGCTTGTCCAGTTTTTGGATTGTACAACTTATATCAACCAGTTGGATGATAGCCAACCAAAATCCGTGGCACTCCCTTATGATCCAGTTTTCTCCTCAACTGGTCTGGCACATGCTTGAAGCAAGCCAAATACTCTCAAATGCTCCATATTTGGCTTGATTTTACTCCAGGCTTCCTCTGGGTAATATTCTTCAATCTTTTAGTGGGCGTTCTATTCAAAATATATGTTGCAGTCAACATTGCTTCCCCCCATAAAAACTGTGGCAGCTCCTTGCTTTTCAACATGCACCTTACCATATTTATTATGGTGCGATTCTTCCTTTCTGTTGTGCCGTTGTGCTCTAGTGCGTAAGAAGGAGTTAACTCATGCATTATTCCTTCCTTCTCATAATAGGTCTTGAATTCTACTGAGATGTACTCACCCCTCCATCCGTTCTTAAAACTTTTAGCTTCTTGTCACTCTGCCTTTCAACCAAGGTTTTAAACCTTTTAAACACCTCCAGGACTTCACTCTTTCTTTTGATCAGATGCTTTTCTAGTCCAATCATCAATGAAAAGTACAAAGTACCTGCTGCCTCCTGGAGTTTAGTTTGTATGGGTCCACATACATCTGAGTATACAATCTCCAATCATTCTGAGGTCCTTTGAGGCACAAAACTATGAAATTGCCCTCTAGTTTGCTTGCACTGCACACATTCATGACATACAGATTATGGAATGTTAACCAAAGGCAAACCACTCACTATAGAGTGTTGACTCAGCTAACACAAATCCCTGAAATTTAAGTGCCCAAAACATAGATGCCATAGCAACTCTATTGACTTTCCTGCTACATTAAAACATTGATGCTTCACAGCCTTCATTTTCACACGAAAGGTTCTGTTTTGAGACAAACTCGCCTTGATAACCATCCTTTTGCTTTGGTCAAAAATACTAAGATAATTATTTTTCATATTCATTGCAAAACCTTTCTGTAATAGTTGTCTCAAACTCAGTAGATTTGTCTTGAGTCTTGGAACAAACAAGACTTCATATATCACCACTTCTCTCCCATTTT